AAAGATTTCCTTCGAGACGCCAACGCCTCCGTCCTTAAATGCTTAAAATACTTCCATTTTCCCTCGAAATCACCTGTCCTGGAAGGGCGTCCGTTGCAGCTGTGCATCCCCCGAGGTTGGATTTTATAAAGTTTGTACAGTTTTTTTGGGGTTGGGGTTTGGTTTTGGGGTTTTTTTGGGGGGAGAGTAGCGATTTCCAGGGCGGTGACTGAAATCCCTTTCTCCTCGGCAGCTTGTTTAGACACCAAAACTAATAGTGCGATTATTATTCCTGAATGATATCATGGTAATGCAGAGAGATAAGAATAGCCTGATAGGGAAACATTAAAATTATATTCTTGGAGATAGTTCATTTGGAGTAACTTTAAATTAGATGAGATCATGTAACCCGAGATCCAGTATCAGCATAAATAGAGCTGTATTTCTGCCTTCATCCTCCTCCTCTTGCTCACAGGAATCGTGGTTGTTTTTGCAACAGCCAAAAGTGAGAGAAGAGCACCTATCATTTGAAAACACCCCCGTTCCAAACTTTATTTAGGAAAGGAGTGGATCTTTAAATAACTTTATTTTTTTTTAATGCTTCGGGCACTGGGAAAAGGAGGGGAGTATTAATTGATTTTTAATTGAAGGAAGCACATTTTGAAAAGACTTCTGAGTGTCTGGAGTTTTTTAGAGACACTGAGGACACCAGTCCCCCTCTCTGTTCTGCAGGACCTGATGAGATTGCCACCACCAGGAATGCTTTTTCCAACTCTCAAGCATTAGCTCAGTGCACAGAATCCCAGCAGTCACTGCCAGGGATGATTATTTTGCTACTTTCCCCTCATATTTGCTTTTTTTACATGCAAGTGCACACATCCATTTATTTATGCATGTGCCACATATTAAAAAAAGACCCTTTTTAATCACATGCCATCAAATAATATTTTCTGAGAGAGATATTATGGAAAATATATGCACCCAGCAGCTCATACAAGCAGAAGCACTGATGCACTCACAGATACTGTGTGGAACAGACTTAGAGGTTTGGTGGGGGGTTTTTTTGCATTTTTACAGTATTTCTTGCTCAATTTTATCCCCCCTCAACCCTGAGAAATTCACTGATGCAACTCCAGCTACAAATAGTTACACGGATCCAGCCCCCTGCTTGGAGAGATTTAATGGAGCAGGTCACTGCCCTGGACATCCCTGACACGAGAGGGGAGCAGTGATGGATGTGGCAGATTGGATCAGCCCAGAGCTGCTTTCTCACCCCGGCCAACAGGAGATGCTTCCTCTGAAGGCACCACAACCTGCTCCAAAAATAAAGATTCCCCGTGGATGAGGACCCGGGTTAAGCCCTGAGGGTGAAGTTTACAGCCCATTCAACGCTTCATTTTTGTTCTGCCCTGTGACACTCCATGATCCCATGGACCACCCCCCCCATCCTTCAGCGTAAGGAGCACTTCCAGATCTCCCTCCTCAAAGCTGATCTGTTCTTTGCTCTTTTGCAGCATCCATTTCTCTTTGCACTTTGCTGTTCATAGGAAGGTGATGTGTATTTTTTTTTTCTCCAGGGGATTTCCCTCCTGGCTCAGGCTCCCTGCAGGTGATAACCCTGTGGTGTGGCAACTCACCACCAACACTGGGAAACCTGTCCCCTGCTGACTCCATGGGCAGGGCCAGGGCTGCTCCTTGGGGTGAAGGTCCTGCTCAGGGAGCCAGCAGCAGGATTTCATGCCCTGAATTATATCAGCCTTCCCAGACTATCAAATTAAGCACAGTTCTAGAATTATAGAGTCATGGAATGGCTTGGGTTGGAAGGAACCTGTAAAGGTCATTGAATCCAAGCCCCTTGCAATGAGCAGGGACACCTTCCTCTGGATCAGGCTGCTCAGAACCTCATCCAACCTCATTTTTAATGTTTTCAGGGATGGGGCATCCACCACCTCTCTGGGCAGCCTGTGCCAGTGTTTGACCACCCTCACTGGAAAAATCTTCTTCCCTCTATGTGTCTGATCTTCTTCCTTCTCTGTGTCTCACATCTCCAGTTCTCTGTGTCGCCACAGGAAGGTCCGTGTTGGGCAGCACCGACTGCAGCCAGGCCAGCAGCCACTTGGGTTGACATTGCTGATCTTGGGAAGGACATGGCACTGTGGCAGAGAGCACCAAACCTGTCCTCATGGAGTCAGGTGGCAGCCTGGCCTCTCCAGGACCCACAGAAGGCCTCTGGGTACCAAAAACTCGAGAGGCAGTGCCACCTCCGGGCCACCTCCTGGCCTTTCCTCAGCAACTTTAGCAGTTAAATAATAGCTGAGGAGTGGCTGAAGAGTTGTTCATCCTCCCCAGGGTGAGAAATGCCTGGTGGGAAGCCCTTGGGATTCCCCTGCCTGGGGTAGACTCTCTCTGCAGAAGCCCATGGGGTACCTGGGTGCCT